CGGGATGGAGTTTGTTCGAATATATCTGGCTTGTGAATTAAGAGCCGGGGTTTGGGAGTGGGGTAGGGTGCTGGGAAACTTGTGTCCACTGCTTCTCTGGCTTCTTCAGTATTTGCCTTCCTGTCCCCGTCCCTGCTCCTCCTCCAACCCTGGTCCTTCCACAACACCCCAGCTCACACCCAGCTCACATCCTGTCCCTTCTCTGCTCAGAACTCTCTTCTGGGCTCCATCTTGTCCAGAGATGCCCTCTACCAACAGGCCCTTGTCTGCCCTAAGTATCTGGAGGCATTTGTGGGGTCTGCTTAGGAGTGTCACATATGGTTGACAGTCCTTTGTCACGTGCTGCTAATCCCCAGCACTGGGGACACTGTGGCAGGAGGAGCCAAGTCTCACTAACTGCCTGGGCTAGGTAGTGAGACCTTTTGCAAAAGGAAGGCTTGAGAAAGGCATGCATTTCAAAGGAGAGTACAGAGGAAGTGTTGGCGTCAGCAAGGACATGGAAGGGACATCAAGGGGTGGCCAGCATGGAGTGGGCTGTGTAGAAGGCTGATATCTCTGGACCAGTTTTCAGGGGATTCTCGAGGCATCAGAAGGGAATTGGCTGTGATACTTTGATTCATTCAGTAAAGTGTGAATAATGCTTTTTCTTCGATTGGAACAGGGCATGTTAGGTTATGAGAAAAGGTGAATTTTTTTTTAACGTTTAATAAGATTTGAGGTTCCTACTGGGACAACAGAGGAAGAAATTAGATAAGTATAGAAGGCAAAGGATTGAAGGGATATTGCCAAATCAGAGACATGTCCCCCAAGATCTAGGGTATGTGGGTTTGTGTTTAGGTGCACCTGGGGCTGAGAATGAAGTAATTGGGATATACAGAGGGGCTGGGGTTGGAAGTCACAGGCATGGCTAGGGTGGTGTGACCTAGCCCCTTCCTGCCCCCTCAGACCACCTTGGAGTGTACCCTGAGACCAGGCTTGGTTTACAACAAAGTGAACCCTATCTTCCACCACTGGAGCCTGGGGGACTGCAAGTTTGGGCTGACATTTCAGAGTCCTGCAGAGGCTGACGAATTCCAGAAGAGTCTGCTGGCTGCGCTGGCTGCCCTCAGCCGAGGTGAGTGGTGTAGGCACAGACTCCCAGGCTGAGGGGGGACAGACATAGAAGCTGGGGTCTGGGGACTCACTTCCGCCTGCCTCCCTGCCCTAGGCTCCCTCACGGCCTCCTCCTCCTCCTCCTCCTCCTCCCCTTCCCAGGACACTGCAGAGACTCCCTGCC